AAATGCTTCCAGTTGTCCTGTAACCATTCGTAGAAATGCTAAACTGGCTGATGTCTACACCTGTCTTGCTATGGAGGACTTGGTTATGCAAGATGTTACATGCTCATATCAAGCTACCACTGAAAAAGGCACTGTTGATTCTACAGCGGAAAACAATGACTGTGTGCAGGAGAGACTGAAAAGTGTTGGTCTGGGTGATCTGGACCTGCAGTCTTGTGACGTGTCAGATGGTTGGCGGAGAAAGCTGGCTGACCTTGTGATCAGCTATGAGGACGTGTTCTCCCGCCACCACATAGACTGCGGAGAGGCAAAAGGGTTTGTGCACAGGATTCGACTCACTGATGAGAGACCCTTTCGGTTGCCCTATCGCCGTGTGCCGCCTGCTGAATACCAGAAGCTTTGTCAAGTCCTAAATGAAATGGAGGAGAAGGAAATAATCTGCAAATCCACCAGTGAGTTTGCCTCACCCCTCGTCCTAGTTTGGAAGAAGAATGGTGACTTGCGGATCTGCACAGATTTCAGATGGCTCAACAGGCGAACACTGAAGGATGCCCATCCCTTACCACATCAAGCAGACTGCTTAGCTGCTTTGGGAGGGAACACATTCTTCTGCTCAATGGACCTCACATCTGGTTTTTACAACATGCCACTACACAAAGATGACCGAAAATACTCTGCCTTTACAACACCCATGGGATTGTACGAATACAACAGGCTCCCCCAGGGACTGTGCAACAGCCCAGCTAGTTTCATGAGGATGATGATGTCCATATTTGGTGACCAGAACTTTCTCAGTCTATTGTGCTACCTTGATGATTTGCTGGTGTTTGGCCCCTCTGAAGAGGTGACTTTCAAGAGGTTGGAGATGGTGTTTGGCCGCCTGCGGTTCCACAACCTGAAGCTTGCTCCCAAGAAATGTTGGCTAATGAGAAGATCTGTGAAGTTTCTTGGACACATAATCAATGAGTCTGGTGTATCCACAGATCCCGCTAAAGTTGAGTCCATCAGTAACATGTCAACTGCAGATCTCATGGAACCAGATGGCGTCACCCCTTCCCCATCTCGTGTTCGCTCGTTTCTAGGCATGATTAACTACTACCAGCATTTCATCCCCAACTATTCCTCTGTAGCCAGGCCACTCTTTAATCTGCTTGCTGGTGCAAAACAGAAACGCAAGTTGAAGATACCCACCAAGCGTAAACTTGTGCTTCGCAAATTGACTAAAGCTGACTGGACAGATGAACACCATTCCGCATTCATGGAGCTTAAAGCAGCTTTGGTCAACTCAGTAATTCTGGCCCACCCAGACTTCACTCGCCCATTTGTTCTGTTTACAGATGCCTCATTGGATGGTTTGGGTGCAGTCCTATCACAGGTTCAGGAAGGTGAGAGTGTGGCCCGGCCAGTGGCATTTGCAAGCAAGTCTCTCACACGTGCTCAAAGAAAGTATCCAGCCCATCGCCTTGAGTTTTTGGCACTCAAATGGTCGGTGTGTGACAAATTCAGCCATTGGCTGAAAGGACATATGTTCACAGTGTGGACGGATAACAACCCACTCACGCACATCCTCACCAAGCCACATTTGGATGCCTGTGAACAGCGATGGGTGGCAAAGCTGGCTTCTTATGCCTTTGACATTAAATATATCCCTGGCTCAAAGAATTTGGTGGCAGATGCCTTAAGTCGCGAGCCATTTATTAAGTCGACTGTAGTAAGGAAGCTGTTGCAAAGACCGTACAGCCAGCTCCTTAATGAGGCCCTCCCTGTCTCAGTTGGCTCAGTCCAGGAGGCTTTTAGGCAGTCGAACGCCAAGGACCAGCACTCCAGCATGTCGCAACTCCCTAACAGCACAAAGTTTCAGTCCTTCACAAAAGATGATGTCCATGCTATTCTCGAAACACAAAGTGCATGGGAATCTGCTGCTAGGCTACGAGCTGTTAACACCCTCGAACACCTACCTCAGCTAATCCTTCCAGTTCAGGATGACCTACCTGTCTTTTCAGAAACCGAGTTGCGTGAGAAACAACAAAACGACCCTGTCCTATCAAGGGTGTTGTACTATGTTGCCCGTGGCCGTCGCCCATCCAGAAGAGAGAAACCCAAAGAGCAAGCCATGGTCGCCAGGTACCTCAAACACTGGGAAAAGTTTACAATGTCCAATGGAATCCTGTACAGACTTTCTAAAAACCCAGTAACCAACAAGAGACGTCACCAATTTGTAGTTCCTGATTCTCTAAAGGCTGAGGTTCTCAAGGGGATTCATGACAGTGCTGGTCATCAAGGGCAGTTTAGGAGCTTGGCTATTGCTCGTCAGAGGTTCTTCTGGCCCCACATTGACCGTGATGTTAAAGACTATGTTCGCCAGTGTCCCCGGTGTGTTATTGGCAAATCCCCTGATCCAGAAGGTCGAGCACCTCTTGAAAGTATCAAAACATCTTCACCATTGGAGGTCGTGTGCATTGATTTTTGGACTGCAGAGGACTCCAATAACAAGTCTGTTGACGTGTTGGTTGTGACCGACCATTTCACACGACTTGCACAGGCCTTTCCTTGCCGTGACCAATCTGCAAAGCAGGTGGCGAGGCAGCTTTGGGACAAATTTTTCTGTATATACGGGTTTCCTGAAAGGATACATTCGGACCAGGGTCCCTCCTTTGAGAGTCAGCTCATAAGGGAACTGTTGGAAGTTGCGGGTGTGAGGAAATCCCATACAACCCCTTACCACCCGATGGGCAATGGTAGCGCAGAACGCTTCAACAGAACACTGGGAAACATGATAAGAGCTCTCCCAACTGATGCAAAACAGAACTGGCCAAAACACCTTCAGACATTAACCTTCATGTACAATTGCACAGTCAACGAGACTACAGGCTATGCCCCTTTTTATTTGATGTATGGAAGAGTGCCACGCCTCCCAGTTGATGTGCTTTTTAAGAACATTCTTAGAGATCCTGAACTGTGTGGCTATGACAAGTATGTGCTATCCCTGACAAAAGATCTCCAGGACGCCATGGCCATAGCTCTAAGTCATGCCGACAGGGAACAGGAACGGCAGGCCTGCCTCTACAACCACCGCACAAAAGGAAAACCTATTGGTGTTGGAGACCGTGTCCTAGTCTCGAACAAACGGGAGAGAGGGAAGCGTAAAACTGTTGACCGCTGGGAGTCTACAGTGTTTACTGTCGTGGGCATGAATCCTACAACCCACACATATCAGATACAGCATCCCAACACTGGTCAGGTCAGAGTTGTGCATCGTAACCTCTTGATGCTTGTGAATTTCTTGCCCTTTGATACAGCCAGTCAGTCTGTCGACTCTTCTGCCCTCTTAGCTGATGGATCTGATGTTACTACTGCATCAGATACACCGGAACCGGTTGTTGAAAAGAATGATTCAAGAATCAGAACCCAAGAGTGGGTCAGCTCCTTACCTGATGCATCCCGTAATGCTGCTCACATGAACGACTCCGTCAGCGAGATGGTCTCTGCAGTGGAGGGAGACGAGGGGCTTCTGTTGTCCCCTAGTGTGACGGGCTATGACCCTTATCCCTTGCTAGTTCCCTCTGCTGATAGACAGAGTGTTCTCTCACACACTTCACTGGTTGCTCAGTCTGCTATTGGCACTGACTCAGTCCACACAGTCAGAACCCGTGTTGGTAGGACAGTCAAGCCTGTCAATAGGCTGATTCAGGTGATGACCAACATGGCTATTAGTGACGATGCTGGTCAGCTTATGGACCGTTTCTAATTCAGTTTTTCAAATGTTTCAGTAGAGGCATGTATAATAATATGCCCTTTTCTAAACAAGTTGTATCTTGTTCTTTGTTCTGTGTTTTGTATTTTATAATAGATATATCACCATAACTTAGTACTAGTCCTGGGTTAGGGGCTTCTTTTTGTTTTACACGTGGGTTATGTAGGATGTAGGCTGCATCCTGCTTCCAGGAGCTGGTAGGGAATAGGGCGCCATTTCCTTGCCACTTCATCCTTTATAGAGGATACTGTTTAAGTTGAACTGTGTACACCCATGTTGAGTAATGTGAGGTTTTGTGTCATGGTGATGGTATTTGCACTTTAATAATTTTGGCTGAAATTCAGCAGGGGTGGGTGTAACAGAGATGAAAATGTGAATTTCACCAAAAGTGATGTGCAGTGATTGTTTGTTTTTGGAGCCGCCTACTGGTGGTTAGGCGCAACTGCATGCAACGGGTCCTTCAGGCGCATTCACGGCCCCTCCCACCAAAGCAGTAATGAAAGCTGGTGGAGGTAGGTGTACTGTGAAGCCGCTCTGCACTTTAAGTCATTTTAACCTTTAATTAATATATCAATAGGACTTGTTACAGATATTTAAGTGTTGTTAGAGCATATTTTGAAAAAGGTTAGCTGTGTTGGCATTAAATTAATAACTTTATAGCCGAGATTCACACTAATGGAAGCTAGCTTTTCAGTCCTTTTAGTAATGTTTGGGTTTTTCTTTTTGCCTTGAACAGACCGTTGTATGCAGTTGCAGCGCACACACACTGATGTATTATTGTGTGCTTGTTTTTACATCAGGTACGTTCAGATGTGTTTGGTTAAAATATGATTTGTAAATGTTTTATTGTTTCAACTGCCGGTGGCAGTTGACTGTTATACCTACTGATGGCAGTTAACTGTTTCAACTGTCGGCGGCTGCGCTGTCATTGTTGGTACTATTAACTATTTTATATGTTTTATCAAAAAGAAAGTATGCATTGCTCTGAAATGCAAGTTGTTAAATTAATATATTGCTGTTGTTATTAAATGTCACTATACGATCACATGATGGGAAAAAAAGCAGTAATGAAAGCTGGTGGAGACCGTTGTATGCAGTTGCAGCGCACACACACTGATGAATTATTGTGTGCTTGTTTTTACATCAGATCCTGCCAGTAAAAAGCTCTGAAGGACAGTCCTGTGTCTGTGGCCTGATTGTATGTGTGCGGTGATTTGAGGCAACTCCAATAACCCTGGACGGACAAGAGGAAGCCGTCACACCCGGTACCGGCTCACCTCTCCCACGCTCCGCTACAACCAAATCTCAGTAAGAACTCTCCCCACTATCTACATAAATATCTCCCCGTCCCGATCATCATTTCATTGTTATTTCTTCCAGTGATCCAATCTCTAGCTCCGGAACCAGCCCATCCCTGCCAGCCTCCGCTCACCTCTAATAAACTATTTTTTACTACATCTCCTGGTCTCTTGAGAGTCATCTTGTATGTGGGTCAAATATCTAAATAGAGAAAAAACCATGAGAGAACAATCTGGCCAAACCGACCCCGCAGAGACTCTTAGGAGATCAGTAGCTGATCAAAATAATCTTTTACAAATGCATGACTCATTTCCTCCGAACCTTAGGGACCAACAAGCTGTCACGAACCAACGTCTGGATCAGCTCACAATTCTCTTGTCCGATGTAGCCAGCAAGTTCAGCCCTCCTCAGCCACAAGGTGGCGCTGCGGCCTTTCCAGACCATCCTACACCCACCTCTACAATAGCTTCTCATCATTTTCCAGCCCCAGTTCCCGAACGTTATGCAGGAGAGGTGGGTGGCTGTGCGAGCTTCTTATTTCAATGCACACTCGTGTTTAAGTCTTCACCATATTCCTTTCCGAATGAAGACTCAAAAATCTCTTTCATCATTGGATAATTGAAAGGAAAAGCCTTAAGATGGGCCGAGGCCCGAATCCGTAATGCCCGTGGATTTAATTGCACTTTTAATACATTTGTGGAGGAGTTAAATCAAACCTTTGACCTGGAAGCTGACCGCTCCACATACTCCAGTGCATTACGGAGGGCAAAACAGGGCAATAAATCAGTGGCTGAATTCTCAATAGAATTCCGCACCCTTGCCGCTTCTTCTACTTGGAACGAAGAGTCACTAATGAGTGAGTTTTTTCATGCACTGAATGAGCCGGTGAGAGACGAGCTAAAAATGCTAGACGAACCTGATAACCTGAATGACTTAATCACACTCGCTGTCAGGCTTGACAACCGCCTGAGGGATAAAGTAAGAGACAAAATCCAGAAAACCACACTCCGACCAAGCACCTACTCTACAATCTCTGGATCCAGCCTCAACACATCTCCTCCTCCTCGCTCTCATCCTGTTGAAACTGAACCCATGCAGCTGGGTCGTACCCACTTGACACAGGAGGAACGACAGTGACGAATCCAAGCCAACCAGTGTCTTTACTGTGGCTCCTCCGGCCATTTCATCTCTTCATGTTCCATTCGCCCAAAAGAGAGGGTCCGACAGTAGACACGGGGACACTGTCGGACCATCTCTACCTACAGAATCAACCCCGACTCCTCCTTCCTGCCACCCTACTCAGCTCTGACGACTCCTTCACTCTGTCTGCACTCATAGACTCCGATTGTGAACAGAACCTCATCGATACCAACTTTGCCTCTCAATGTAAGTTCATAACTGTTCCATTATCTTCTCCTATCCGTGTTTCTGCCTTGGACGGCAACCCGCTCCCCCTAATCACACACAAAACGGAACCTGTAAAACTTATTATATCTGGTAATCATGTGGAAACCCTGTCCTTCTTGCTTTTCCCTATTAAACAGTCTCCTATTGTTCTAGGATTCAACTGGCTGCAGAGACACAACCCCTCGCTAAATTGGCACAATCTCCGTGTTGATTCTTGGTCCTCATTCTGCCACTCATCCTGTCTCCAATCAGCCTTGCTCCCAAACTCTGCTCCCATCAGCCAGACAGAAGTTGAGACCTCTGACCTATCTCATGTTCCAGATATCTATCACGATCTGAACCAGGTATTTAATAAGCACAAAGCTTCCTGTTTACCCCCTCACAGACCATATGACTGTGCCACAGACCTTCTGCCTGGAGCTCCCCTGCCCTCCAGCCGACTATATAACATCTCCCGACCGGAAAGAGAAGCCATGGAGACCTATATCAAAGAATCCCTGTCTGCAGGTCTGATTCGTCCATCCTCTTCTCCCCTTGGTGCTGGATTTTTCTTTGTATCCAAAAAAGATGGTTCCCTGAGGCCCTGCATTGATTATCGTGGACTGAACCAGATCTCGGTGAGAAACAAATAACCCCTTCCTCTCATTTCCTCCACCTTTGATCTTATGCAGAATGCTACTGTATTTACCAAACTGGATCTTCGGAATGCTTATCATCTCGTCCGCATCCGTCAGGATGACGAATGGAAAACTGCCTTTCAGACACCTCTTGGTCACTATGAATACCTAGTCATGCCCTTCGGACTCACTAACGCCCCCGCCGTATTCCAAGCCATGACAAACGATGTTCTCTGTGATTTCAGTAACCGGTTTGTTTCAGTCTATCTAGACGATATCCTGATCTTCTCTGATGAACACCACAAACACGTCCGCATGGTTCTCCAGCGTCTCCTCGAAAACCGCCTCTATGTTAAGGCTGAAAAAAGTGAGTTTCATCGGTCATTCATAACATTCCTAGGATACATCTTTGAGGGTGGACAGGTGCGCACAGACCCAGACAAGATTAAAGCTGTCCTAAACTGGCCCACCCCGGAAAACCGAAAACAGCTCCAACGCTTCCTAGGGTTTGCTAACTTTTACCGCCGCTTCATAAAGAATTACAGCCAAACTGCATCTCCATTAACTGCCCTTACCTCCACCAAGAGCAAGTTTGAATGGACCCTTGAGGCCAACCATGCCTTCACAGCTCTCAAAAACCTGTTTGCCTCTGCCCCCATCTTGATTCAACCTGATCCTCAAAAGCAATTCATCCTGGAAGTTGACGCATCTGATACCGGAGCAGGTGCCGTGTTATCTCAAAGGTCAGTGCATGATGGAAAGTTGCATCCCTGTGCCTTCTATTCTTGCAGGTTGAGCCCAGCTGAAAGGAACTATGACGTTGGAGACCGAGAACTACTTGCCATTAAAATTGCTTTGGAGGAATGGCGTCATTGGTTGGAGGGCTCCACTCACCCGGTATTGGTATGGACAGATCATAAAAACCTGTCATATCTGCAATCAGCCAAACGTCTCAATTCCCGCCAGTCACGATGGTCCCTGTTTTTCTCCTGGTTTAACCTAACCATTTCATTCCGTCCAGGCTCCAAAAATACCAAACCTGATGCGCTGTCCCACCAATTCTCTGCAGAAGAAGGCTCTGAACCTCCTGCCCCCATCCTCCCTCTCAGTTGTTCTGTGGGTGCCGTAACCTGGGACATCGAGAATATTGTCTCCCAGACTCTGAAGGATGAGCCAGACCCAGGCACCGGACCAACCAACCGGACATATGTTCCTTCTACTGTTCGTTCCAAGCTCATTCACTGGTTTCACACAGCGAAGTTCTCCTGTCACCCAGGCACAAGCCGTACCATAGCTCTGATCTCTCGAAGGTTCTGGTGGCCGTCCCTTCACAAAGATGTAAGGGACTATGTCCTCGCCTGCCCTGCCTGTGCCTGTAATAAGACTGGTAATAAACCTCCGTCTGGCCTCTTACAACCCCTACCCATTCCCAAAAGACCATGGTCACATATTGCCTTGGATTTCGTCACCGGTCTCCCACCTTCGAAGGGTATGACTACCATTCTGACTGTCATTGATAGATTTTCTAAAGCCTGCCATCTCATTCCCCTCAGAAAACTTCCTACTGCCTTCCAGACTGCACAACTTCTAGTCAAGCACGTCTTTCGTCTACATGGAATCCCTCAAGACGTTCTTTCAGATCGTGGCCCTCAGTTTATCTCCCAGGTATGGAAGCAGTTTTGTTCAGCTCTTGGTTCCCAGGTCAGTCTCTCTTCAGGATATCACCCTCAAACCAATGGTCAGACTGAACATATGAATCAGGAACTTGAAGCCTTGCTCCGTTGTGTGACCTCATCCAACCCCTCTGACTGGAGCCTGTTCCTGCCCTGGGTGGAGTATGCCCACAATTCCCATGTCTCCTCTGCCACTGGTCTCTCTCCTTTTGAGGTGTCCCTAGGTTATCAACCCCCTCGCTTTCCTGCTGATGAGAAGGACATCTCTGTCACCTCTGTCCACCATCATGTCCGCCGCTGCCGTCGTGTATGGTCCATTGCCACTTCTGCCCTCAACCGCACCCTGGAACAGAATCGCAAATATGCTGACCGTCGGCGGGCGCCTGCTCCAGTGTACTTCCCCGGGCAGAAGGTTTGGCTTTCTTCTCTGCATGTTCCCCTGAAGTCTGTGTCTCGCGAGCTCTCTCCCAGGTTCCTGGGTCCTTACGAGGTTCTGGAGATCCTCAGTCCTGTCTCGGTCCGTCTCCGCCTTCCCCCTGGTCTCCGGGTCCATCCCACCTTCCATGTCTCTCAGATCAAGCCTGTTCTCTCCAGCCCGCTTTGCCCTCCGGCCGCTCCCCCTCCTCCCGCCCTGCTTGTGGATGGCCATCCTGCCTGGTTGGTTCGCCGGATTGTGGACTCCCGTCGTCGTGGTAGGGGCCTGCAGTACCTCGTCGATTGGGAGGGCTACGGCCCTGAGGCCCGCTCTTGGGTGCCTCGGTCCTTCATATTGCACCAGGCCTCATCTCCGATTTTGAGGCCTCTTTGCCTGCTCGTGGCTCTGGGCCGCCTGGTGGCGTCCGTTGAGAGGGGGGTGGTGTCAGGTACTGGGTTTGTGGGTTCACATTTCCTCTTCACAGGTTGTTGGAGGGCTAGGGAGACTCATAAGGAGACTCCATCCAGCTAATTACCTCGGCTGCAGAGTCACCCTGCTCACCTGCAGCCCATCATGTAATTAGACGGGAGGAATAAAGGAGCCAGTGAACCAGCCACTCAGCGCCAGATTGTTTGCCTTAGTGGTAACGTCCAGCCACCTGAATCTGTTCCTGTTTTATTCTAGTCTGTTCCCTGAAACCTCTGTCTGTCATCACAGGATTCCTAGAACCCGTTCTGGATTACACCTTTGTGTGGAAGTCTCATACCAGCCTCTGCAGCTCCCGGATCTCCTGAACCACGGCTGAATCCTCCCTGGCTCTGTTCTCCTCCCGTGCGTCTCCTGTTCAGCCTCCAACAACCCGCCTCACTTCTCCGAACCTCCACATCTACCCACAGCCCCGGTACCGGCTCACCTCTCCCACGCTCCGCTACAACCAAATCTCAGTAAGAACTCTCCCCACTATCTACAGAAATATCTCCCCGTCCCGATCATCATTTCATTGTTATTTCTTCCAGTGATCCAATCTCTAGCTCCGGAACCAGCCC